TCCAATCAGTGATAGACTTGGATAATAACAAAAAAAACAAAACATAATTTACACTTTGCATAATCATTGAAACCGACTTCGTGTGAAGATCTATAATTGTGATCGTCCTAGGAGAACTGTCATCATTTTTATTATATTTGTTTTATAGTAAAAGATATAAAATCACTAATGTGTCTTTTTAAAAATCACTGTAAGATTTTGTGAAGCAAATGGGCTGAAAACGCGACAACTAAATTGCCCCATGTTAGAAACGAAGCGGTTTGTTATATACTCTTCAAAAAAGTTGGGGATATTGAAATGCAAATATCTATGCAGGTTGCGATATGATAAATAGTCATGGACATTTGACATGCTTTGAGAGTATGTTCACAGATGAAGAACTTGTCGCCCCAACAGAACCACTGAGCTGCACATGCGACACGCAATAGCGTCATACACTTGGGAGGGGTTCATTGTCAAATTTGACGCGTCAAGGAAGGGTTGATGAAAACTGCGGCGTGCTGGTTTATCTATCCATGTGTATTTTCCTATCGGTTCTTGCATAAGATGTATCTTTGCTTTAGTGTGTTACGTTTAATTTGATCGGGAGACGTGTTCGTCGATGTCAACGTCAACCGACAACACTGCACGAATTAGCCGTGGCACTGCAAGAGGAGTGGGTCAGATTGCCCCAAATCGTGATTGGACGGTTGATTAGAAGCATACCACGACGAATTGCTGAATGTCTGAGGATTGGTGGAGCAATTACTCATTATTAAGACAAAAATCAAAACCTTCCGTTTTCACTTTTGACGGTGTATCTCTTTGCGAGTAAAATGGGGCCGTCAGATAAGCCGCCCATATGAACTGCTTATGTTCATGTGTAGGCAATTGGCCTGTTATTAACATACACTGGTTACCTCTAATATAAACAGTACTGCATTTCCGCAGTTTTGTATTGTTTCTGAATATCCCCTACTTTTTGAAGAGTATAGTTTTGATTATTCTGTATGAACATTATCCATCAAATGATACACAAACCCTTAGAAGTTGTGGATATATAAATACAATATTTTATTTTGATGCTAAAACTTAAGTGTCATATTACAACTTAAGCAACGTTTTGTGACATTTATGTCTTGTAACTTATCCCCATCGACCAGAAGGTGCACCACTGCCGTCGTCATGTTCTGCCTTCCATTTTGCATACTTGATCATTAAGTCCATACAAGATTTGGTGGTGCAAATCGACGTAACGTCAACTCTTTTGAACAAATGTATCTTTTTGCCATGTGTATGCGTATATTCCTTCTCTTCAGCAAGCCACTTCTTCTTCAGATCTGATATAACTGCTGCTCTTAAATGTTCGTCGGGAATTTCATCCATATAGAAACCGTCGATAATTACAGATTTCCAATTAGGTAGTTCCCTACCTGGCTTGTCTGCTGCTCGTTCAACCGAAGCTTTCCTTGGTGGGGGTAAATCGGGTAGTTTCCTAGGTAACCTCTCTGATTTGTCTGCTGCTCGTTCTACAGAAGCTTTCTTTGGTGGTGGTAAATCGGGTAGTTTCCTACCTGGCTTGTCTGCTGCTTGTTCAACCGAAGCTTTCTTTGGGGGTGGTAAATTGGGTAGTTTCCTACCTGGCTTGTCTGCTGCTCGTTCTACTGAAGCTTCTTTTGATGTTGGTAAATCGGATAATTTCCTATCTACCTCGACTGGCTTGTCTGGTGCTGCTCGTTCCTTTGATGTTGGTGAAGTATTTGCTTCATTGATCAACAAGACCAAAAGTAACATAAGTACCAAAGCCATTTTGGAATCTTGAAAAGAAAACGAAAAGGATATTATTCTATATGGTTTCTGATTTTATTTTGCTAAAAAGGCATGGAACGAAATACGGTCTGGGCTATAATGTTCATGTTATCGGACTATCAGTCTATATAGTCGGTGTGTCAGAATATCATTGCAGCTCAGATTTGTAATGCGGTCGCCAAGATCGCTCCTGTAATCTAGAAAAACCTAATAAGTCAAATTTCGATGAAAATTGAGTTAGACCTATATTTGGATTTAGTATATAATATAGGGTTTTCTCCTTCACTGAAAAGGCTTCTAATTATCTTCATCTAAAAAGCCAAAATAAAATTTGTTTTATGTTCAATAGCTCAAATTTACTAGGTTTTTTCCAGATTACAGACCATTCTTGTCTGCCTGCAAATGCTATGTAAAGCAAAGGCGTTACACATTATTATAGCAGATCAGATTCTAATGAATCGAACAGTAGCACATATTTAGCTTGAAGCCGATGGTCACAATTGGCGAGGGGGGTTGAATCCCTTGGTAACTGGATCCTTTTATATTAGTTAAAGATGGATTAAAATGTTCCAACAATCAGCATCTTCTTCAGATGACGCTACAGATTTCATGAACAAAGTATTGGAACAGATGGGCTTCTCCCGAATCAATAATCAAACTGAGTATATTTTAGAATGCATTAAGCCATGCAAAATTTTATACTGCATAAAAAAAATGCAAAAACGATTATGTACTTAGGATTACTTTTTTTAATACAAAAAGCAAACTTATTTTTAACTTACCTGTCAACGCAATCCAAATTCAAATATTTCCTTCTTGCGCTTTCACAGCACCAAGATTATTTATACATCACATAAAACTGCCTAGGTCTTCACCTTTTGACAGGTTAAATTAAAAAGAGTGTTAACCAAGAATTAAATTCACGTATCCTTAGTTTGTAGGTCGAAAGTCGTCAGATGGCCTCGGTAAAAAAAAACTAGTATCAAAGATTAAGATGATTCACAATCTAGTAAGACAAAAAAGAACTCTGAATTAGAATATGATTGATATTGACTATTATATGAAATATATGGACGCTAAACCAGATTGCATTTCATTTATCTTATATAGATATATTATAATACATGTCAATCCCAGTAACACACCACTGAAGAGGAATTTAATTTAATTATTTACAAAACAAATCACTTGAGGGTTTTAGAGAGTCCTCCCCCCTACAGAGTCACAAAGATATCACACCATTTATCAGTCAATTCTTCTGACAGACATGGTTCAAATTATTTGTTCTTCTCACAAATTGGGCTAAGCTTTGTCAACATGCAGGATCCGGATATTTGTAAAAACTTGCTCTTGCGCCTTGGGGGACGTACCGACAGGTGGTCTAACGCTTGCGCTTTAGATCCGAAGGTCTTTCATCAATCCTCATAAATCATAGTTTGAATCCAACTCTTTTATGTGATGGGGATTCAGTTCGCTTGGCTACGGATTTCTCCCAATGCTGAAGACACCCGGGGCCTGTTTCACGACATTTTTACTAAGGTAAAATCCAAATTTTAGTAATTTGATTCAAAATTGAAATATCTATTAAAATTTTGGATTTCATCTTTAGTTAAGATTTCGTGAAACAGGGCCCTGCATTATGAGAGAATGAAGACTGACATACGTGTGAGTATATAATTTTACCTTGACAGCGGCACTACGGCCTACTATTATTCTGAATTCCAACTGTCGAGGGTTCTTTTACGTGCACGCCAATGTTTACACGGAGTAAAGGACTTCGGTTTTTCGTCACATCCGAGCGACTAGACACTGTTCCTTGTCAGGCCCTCCGTTCTGCATTACCAGGAAGGGGAAACCAACGCCCACGTTCAACCTAATGAAATCACAACAATTCTATAATTTCATGTACAAATTATTATTTTTATTTTTTGTATACATTGCAAACAAGTTTTGGTATAACGAACACAAATTTGTATATTAAACATAAAAAGTGGTTAAAAAGTAAACAAATGAACAAGTAACAATATGAAGTGAAAGACGTCACAAAAAAAAAATTCACAAAAGAAAAAAAAAACCAGATCAGTAGTTATATTAAAAGATGAAATTGTAAAAAGTTGAAATTATTTACTGGGGACTTAAAAATGGACAAAAAGCTTAAATTTGATATAGATAAAGCTTAGACTATAGTGAAAATAAAATGAACTATAATAGCGTAAATTACTTGATTTAAAGAATTTTTATGATGAAAAAGCAATGTTAAATAACAGAATTATTTTTAAAAAGCTAATCTACAATTATTAGAAGTATATTAACAGTTTATTTAAAAAGTTATTTTACAAAGAATACATATACATAATTATATTATAAAGTTTTATACATATCCTAAAGTCCAGTGTCCCTGTATACATGAATCTATCTACGGTAAAATCGCTAAACATTCATTGTTTACTGCGTGTTTCTTACGAAAACCTAGTAATTTATTTGAAAATTTAAAAATATTCAATTATTTTCTGAACCTAAATCTATTATAAAACAGAGTTTGTCTATTGTAGCCTATTATTTCTATAACCTAAACGATATGAATTCCAAATTTTTAGCTAACAATAATTTGAACACGTACATTTTAAGAGTTAGTAAAGAATGTTTCTCAAGTTATTTTATTTAAATGTATCTTAATATATTTTCAACTAGGTATGATATAATCTTAGTAACTACACCTGGATTCCTATACCAATAACTTATCTTTATATTCAGTCTAGATAAAACGGTCATTCCTGCGCTAAAAATGGTCCGTTTTCTAGGCCTACTCATCTGGGTTGCCGTTTACTACAAATACTGTCTTTGTGATTCGTTTTTATTACGCGAATAAAAAAACATTAGCTTCGTGCTTCAATACGGGACAAATGGTCATATATTTATGTATTTATTTGTCAAACTATCATAAATTTTTAATTGACTTACTGATTCAGTCATATCGGGTAATGATGGGTTGGTTTTCCCAGAATGCTTTAGAGTAGGAGATCAGATAAATATACACAAATTTACACATCTGAAAGACTCGTTCTGCCATTTTTTTTCTGATTTAAAAATTCATTTAGAGAAATTCACAGCTTTTATATCATTCGGAATTAAGAGACCCACTACCAACGGAAAGTGTACACAACTAGCTATCATAAGATTTCGAGCCATAGTTTCGTACGCCTTTATTAGTGATTTTTAAACACAGTGAATTACACCGAGGCTCTTCAAAATGAAATATGGAACTATTAAATTCTCTTTAAAACATGATTTATTCAATATATGGTAACTAGGCTATCTGGATTCACTACTAACAACTAAACTTTTTGACATTTTTCTTCCTTTTAGCGCAATGAGCAACAAGTTTACGTAAAACTATTTCAAAAACTGTCTTCCTTGGACCTGACTCCATTCTGTAAAGGCGTATTACAAAATGAATGTTTCATGTCATAAAACCTTATCAACCAGAAATCATTTTTATTAAGGTAGAGTTTATTCTGCAGTTTAAATATTATTCTAGAAACAATTAAAGGAAGTTACAGAATATTCTTGTGTTCACAGTTTGTAATGCTTATTGTGTTCTGTAATAATTTCAACAAATAATAACCGATATGTTTAGGCATTGTCCCGGTCATCGTCCGTTTCCCAAAGCATGATCTGCAAGGGAAGACAACTCTGCTTGGGAGAATGGGTATTCTTGTCACTGATCCACGTTCACGTAATCTTGAATACCGTTGTATTTTGTGCGCTCCAAATAATGCATGGTTCGCTTTAGATAATCAATTACATGTACTAAACTCCAGAAATACTGTATGGCTATTGTCAATATTCTTATACTTATATTCAGCTGTTATTTAAAGCAAATTACAATACAATATATCACAAAAGTCTACGGTAATAATAAAATAATAGTAATAATTAATTAATTAATTAATTATAATAATAATAATAGGTAATCAAAATTACACTTATTCAATTAATAAACACACAAATCAACAACTTTAAAGAAAGATATGCCCGCATAATCTTTTTTAAAGTTTAAATGGGTTAAATGTATACATCTTATTTCACACTAGATTAACACATGCACAAAATTTTAATTGAGCATTTAAAATCTTTTCACCTCAGGAAACCAAAATCTGTATCATTATACAAAATGAACCAGACTTTGGTTGCTGGGCACGATTGGCCAATTTCATATTGTCATCTTTATTTCCCTTACTTGAATTTAAAAAAAAACATGATTGTGAACAACTAGAACACAAATCAATTTTGCACACAAATTAAGGCTGTTTAGAGACAATGTGAAACTGATCCTTAATAATATGTTAAGAAAAAAGCATAATTGTTATAAATTTACTCATAATTGTAATCACACTTGAATTGTTTTGAATACAATTAGACACAGGGGTAGGGGACTAGGAAGTTTGAATGTGTTGTGAGATGGGGGCAGTAACTTGGAAGTTGGATTAATTAGGGTGCCCCATACCAGAAGAAAATTACTACACTTACTATTCTTGAAATCAGACCTTAGCAAATTCTAAATTCTACTACCTTAATATAATTTGTAATTTTGTTTTCTTCTAACACAACTTATTCTTATTTTATTTAACACCATTAACAATTCTATATTTTTTAAACACAATTTGTAATTTTGTTTTCTTCTAACCAAATTTACAATTCTATTATTGTTTTAACACAATTAAATTATATTGCAGCCCCACCCCACACCCCTTCACAAATGCATCATTTTTTCTGGTACAAGGACTAGAATGGGTTAATAAAAAGGGTGCTCTTACAACAGATAGTACTGTTAAACAAGAATACAGACAATTTCTTATAAATATAGTATTTGTTTACAGTTTACCAATCTGATTTCAATACCATTTCTGTGTAGAGGTCAAGGTTATGTTTATCATTCACACTGATCAATCAGCAAATTTCTAACAAACAAGTTATGATTGAGCATTAAACTACCTACCAGCAATAATATTACAAAAGTACCTTAATGATAAAATGACAATTTACTATTTTGGGGGTTCAAAGGGTTAACTAATATCCCATTTATTGCTCCTTTTGTAGTTTATAAAAGCCAGATTACTACAGAAAATATTGCTGTGATGTAACAGATGAAGTTCTACAATCCTACCCCTAATTGATTTTCAAATTTAATTTCCATCCAGTTGAACAGTACTATTAGATAATGAAACAACTATCAGATAAAAACGGACATGTGGTTTATTAAAAGAGACACTTGAATTAAAATGAATCTAAATAAATTAACGGATTATAATAATATTAATTTTTCATGCTTTAATAATAAACACAGATATAAATACTTAACTATTATTTCTTTGACATTTATAAGTGAAATAACAATGATATATATCGATATTCAAATCTAGGTATCAAAGGGCGGATTAATTTTAATATAAATGAAGAGTGTGTTGATGTCAATGTTTCAAATATACCATTGGTGAAATCTAAAGCCTCTGCATGCCAAATAGTTCGCAAGGTGGTTAAAAAAACATGAACCATTTTACAATTAAATTAAGCCAAATCGAACTTATAAATAATGGCCTGACTTGTATAGAATTATAAACAAATCATAAAGATGGAAGTGTGACATCAACAAAATTTAATAAATTTCAACTGGTTTAATTAAAATTACAGTCAATCAATTTGAATTAACTGTGCAGTCCCAAGTTTGGACTAATATTTAGTTTAGTTTATTCATCATTTGATCCAGCTGCTATACAGATCTATCGGCCTGTCCAACCTCTATTACTCTTTCATAGGAGTGTTGCGCTCCCCTTTTCGATTCCTAATTTTGATAACGTAACAATCTTTGAATTTATATTTGACATTTTTTCCGGCATGTTGTGGCTTAACTACAAAGTTCGTTTCAACTGATTTCAAGCAGTAGATTTCAGATATTTGTAAAAGTATTTCCATATATCGACATCTTAAGATTTCGTACTTTGTACAAATTTCAATTTTGACTGACTATATTGTGTTACTAGCTGGAGCCTAACTCTCTTTACACATTTTTATTTAACTGTTTGACCATTAGCTTTGCCCAATAGAACCAAGCATGTTTGAATTTAAAAAACAAAAAAAAATAACATCTGATTTAAACTATTTTCAGTCCTATTTTTTCAAGTACACACAAGGCTGTTTTCCTTAAAACTTAAGACATATCTTGAAACGTAACAAACCACCTACATGTACATTCTAAATATTAAAAAGAATTTGATGAACACATACATTAATTATTAACTTACAGTTTACTTTAGGAATAGTTGCTGTCCAAAGGTCAAATATGGCTGATGTCCCCTGCTTCAATCCCAAACTATATAGATGACACTCAATTATTATTCTACTTAACCTGAGCAGTAAATGCTAATTATAGAACTAATATTAGTCATCTACACTAAGTTTAACCATTCTACCTCAATTAGCAGCATCAGAATTGTATTCCAAAAAGTGTGACAGGCTACCGCAATGAAATTTCTTAACCTAAACAGAAACTGCTCATCATCAAACCCACCCATTCAAGGCGGTCGGCTCATGAACAACTAAACCCAAATTTAAACAGATGTGACAGATGGACAAACCCATGTTAATAGTCCATGGCCTTTGAATTACACATCCCATCTAGTAAACCTAAATAACGAGTGCTTCTAGATTTTTCAAATTTTGCTTGTTAGCGCCTTTCCAAATTTGTCTGGTTCCCATGTATCCTTAAATCTGACCCTGGTATAGTAACATGTATAAAATAAACTGTAATTAAGAGACACAGTGAATCTATTTAGTACATCATGTGAAGGATATAACAACAGACTATAAACCATAACATTATTATAATTAACAGTTATAATTTAAATTGCATGAAATAGCTGGAGAAGAAAAGCTTGTTATAGCGTTATCGTATTTGAAAGTTTAAACCATACAAGAATTATATTGTACTAAATAGCTGCCTTTTAACAACGAATAGAAAAGACAAACAATAATACATAATAATAATAATAATAATGTCTGTCAAAAAATGGATAATAACAATGATATAGGGTATGAAAGATGGATAGGCCTACCATATATTGATATGGTGAAGACAATGTGTGTATGAAACACAGTAATATTAAGACATGATATATGATAAACATTGTACATATACATAATAATGGATGTAAATATACATTATTAATAAGTCTAATATATAAACTGATTAGTCTTGAACACTAATTAGGCTATGTATATAAAGTGTGTTAGTTTGAAAATAAACACTAATTATATAAAGAGCATTATAAATCTAATGTTAAGACCTGAAGTATAACAATGTTTTGACATAATTTGATTTAAGAAGACTTATTATATATACTGATTATCATAAAAAGTGTGTTATAAATTTTATGTAAAGTCTTGAACAATTAGTATATAGTACAATGTAACGATGATTTGACACAATCTGATTTATGGATACTAATTAGCATAAAAAGAGTGTTATAAATTTACTGTTAAATCTTGAACACATAGTATAATATGTAAGGATTTTGACATAATCTGAGTTATATACACTGTTTAGCATAGTGTTAAAAATTTACTGTAGAGTCTTGAACACTTAGTACATTGAGCTAGGTAAGGAATTTTGACATTATCTGATTTATATAATTCGTTTAGCATTTTAAAAAAAAGTGTGTTAAAAGTTTACTGTACTGCCCTATGCAACTTAATATTTTGACAATCTGATTAATGAACTGTTTAGCATAAAATGAGTGTTATAAATTGAATGTAAAGTCCTGAACACTTATTGTACTATGTAATTTGATATTTTTGACATATAATGAACACTAATTATATATAAAATGATTAGCATAAAAAGAGTGTTCTGAACATTTGTTATATGGTACAATGTATGGTTGTTTTGACAATTAATTTTGATTTCACTAGCTAATATATGGTTTAATATTAAATACTGTTATAGTGAAGAAGAGAGTATAAAGACTATGAGAGAGATTCTAGTTATTATGTATATACATAAATTTACACCAACTCCTGGAAACATAATTAAATCTTCATTAATTACTATGTTTATCAGAATAACATTTTATCTTGGTAAGGGTGGTGATGAAAAATAGAATGTTAAAACCCCATTTCATTTATATCCTGGAAAAATTCAAAACAACAATAGTAATGGGTGTTGTACAACAGGCAGGATAGGTTAACTGTTTCTAGAACACAAATTTTTACTTTTGATACAATATTTCACTTAAGGGGATCATTTGTATTTGACAAGTCAAAGTTTTACAAAACGTGTCTTCTGACTTTTTTTATGCATTTCCACATTATTTCGAAAAATATGTCTATTTTTATTTCTAATTTGTATGATCAATCCATATCTTTATTGTAAATTTAAGAAATTCACACAATCAATAATTTGTGTAGTATTTGTTGAACGTACAATATACACAATTTTCTTAACTTTATCATCTGAAGTCTATACATAAATCTATGTTGACTGATCTGTGCGAGTGAAATGAAATGAAATGGGGTTTAACATCCTACTTGTCTGTTCCAACTGGCCTAATGAAGATGGGTGTATGCGCTACGGCTGACTCTAATTTTAAATTCAAATTGTCAAGGGTTCTTTTACGTGCACGCCAATGTGTACACAGGACCTCAGTTTTCCGTCCCATCCGAACAATTAGACTCTGTCCTTGTCAGGCCTTCCATCAAACACCACTGACAAGGGAGAACCACACCAGAAAACCCAAGAAACTTTCACGGTCAACACCAGGAGTGAACCCGATACCTCCTGGGTTAGCAATTCAACGTCTTACTCACTGAGTCACCGCTGCTCACTCTGGTGCAAGCGATTTCTTACATAGTAAATTAGAAGAAAGATTTAACTATGTTTCCATTATTTGATCTTTGGGACCATTTATGTATCACTGGTTTGGTAATGAAGAAACAAGACAGACAAAAATATAAAAACAACCCCATTTGATTGATAGACTCTTCCCAAAACCCGCACAGATTGAATAAAAGATTAACATTTTGGAAGAGTTCATAATTCATCAATGGGAGTGTTTAATATTTCATCAATTCTTTCTTCAAGCCTGGCAAAATGAACAATTGTTTATGATGAAGTAAATGCCATACATAATGATGTACGTTTTTACTGAAAGCCAGCTAACTATTGATGGCATGTGTCACAAGATATCTTGGCATGATAGAATCTAAAACTACACTTTCCTACTGTCTATATATGTAATAATGCTTTAAATACTATAAACACAAACCAAATATTACTAGCACAAACAATTATTAAATTTCAAGTATTGCTATATAAATAATAATTATTCTATATTCAATCTGTAGTGTGCTTAAAAACAACAAATAAATACTGTAAAACAAGAAATAAATGCGTCATGAAATTAATGTGACCAAAAGAGGCCAATATACATGTGTTAAATTCTTGTTTCACAGCGAACGAGGGGAATCTAAAAACCCAATAAATAATAGAACACACGTTAGAAACATGTGGTTAAAATAATCAGATATTTAAAACAATAAATAGGAAAGAGAAGGGAGGAGGGGGGATATAAACAAAGTCTATATGAACAAACTTTTATAATTCTTGGTGGCACTAAATTGTTATACATATATATAGAAAGCAGCTTGGTAATATTTCTATAGTCTTGTTTGTTTAGTGGTATATTGTTTAAGCTATATGTACATCCTATAGAACCAATAGCTCCACACTATCTTCGGCTTTCCTTCAGTCTTTATAAAGAATAAATAATAATAATAATTAAAAAAAAACAAGTCACTTGGCTAAGCAATACAAATTTTGATTGAGTTGCAAATTTCTAGAGAAAGAAAGAATGTTTTCACCCTCTTCTTCTATTAAGGAAATCCATTCTGAAAAGAGAAATAAAGACTGTTGGTCATATGATAAAGGCAGTGTCGTATTTACTTATACGCTTGGCAGACTGAAGTCTAGGACTACAAGATCTAGGGGACCTCTGGCCAAAGTGTATTATATTTTTGACACTGACATATAAAGCTCTGTTACATACACAAAGGGTACGATTAAATGATGTTTTTGTTACAGTCAAGCCTGCAGTTATAACTTTTTTAGCAAGGTAGATATCAGATCATATGTAGGGCTCAGTGATTGGAAGTGACGATAGATATCATGGATCAGCCAGGCTTACCCAATTCAGGGCCACCTTGGCTCGGTGCATATGACACTTATTCACAAAAGGTCCCAGGTTCGATTCTTCTGGATTTTCCAGCCTGGTTTCCCCTTGTAAGAGATGCAGGAGGTCCCATGTTTTAGCATTGAAAACACGATTAGGATCCCCTGACGTTCGAAAAAAACTCAGAATAGACCCAAATGCTGCTGTATGGCCAAAATTTGCCTCATCTTATAGGACATTGCCATCTTCATTAGCCTAGTTGGTGTATAAAACTAAAATCTTAAAACCCATTTTGTTCATTCATACTGTCCAGAACACCTGGTACCATTTCACTAGGAAGTGACAGTATATAGCTAATAGGGAGCCACAGTGGCTAAGTGAGTAAGATGCTGGCTCACTAGCCTGGAGGTCGTGGGTTCGATCCCGGTGTTGGCCAAGAAAGATCATCGAGATTTTCCGCCGTGGTTTTCCCTTGTCAGTAGTGCAGGATGGAGGGCCTGACAAGAACAACTGTCTAGTCGTTCGGATGTGACATAAAACCGAGTTCCTGTTCACACATTGATGTGCCTGTAAAAGATCCCTTGGCAGTTGGAATTTTATATAAGAGTATATAATAGCACACTGTATGGCGTATACCTGTCTTCATTAGCCCAGTTGGAGCAGAACAGTAGGATGTTAAAACTCCATTTCATTTCATTTCATATAGCGAACAACTTTCAATGTGTTAATGTATTCATACAGCTAACAACTTTCAATGTGTTTATGTGTTTATAATGTAGAAGTAAACACTTACCATGTGTTATTTTTTAAAGATTTTAAAGAGTTTGGATTTCTTACTGGAAGGAGGGGCCACTAACATTGGCACTTGGTTCTTATGGGTAACATATATCTGTAATAAATAATAATTTAATCCAGAAATTAACATGTGTATAATAGCATGGATATTACAGAAGAGATTGAACAAAAGTTAAACAAGCTCCGCCTACTGAATCAGAAAACTAGAGCGTCCACAAGATTTTTTGAAGTGATCAAGGGCCATTGACAGTAGTTTTCGAAAATCGCTGAAAATCAATAGGCTTCTTCGTCTCATGACCTTTAACACTGTGTATAAATTTAAAGTCAATCGGATATTAACTTTAGCAATTGTGGACGCCGGACCGACAACAATATACGACCACATTTCAATGTGGGCGTATAAAAACAGAGACCCTGTGTACACGTGGGTATGCACATAAAAGAACCCTTGACTGTGAAGCACTGATGTCCAGGCAAATTCCCCCCCCCCCCCCATATGCCCATCTTTATTAGCCCAGTTGGTGTAGAGAAGTTAAACTAATGTACCATATTTCCACAAATTGTTAGCCCTAAACTAATGGTAACAAGTTAGTTCTTACTGAGCCTCTCACAAAAATGTTGGTCAAACATCAGAACAGCTAAGTTGTGAAGACAATCAAAGCTGCTTTTAGTACCGACATTTAACACTTCTATGGTGGAAACATCGGGCTACAAAAGCCAAACATCACCATCAACCCAACATAATCAAATAACATCCGTAATGGCTATTTCATTTATTTTCAAACTTGAGGAAGAATTACCACTGTAGGGGGGAAAAAAGAGTCATAAATCTTATTAAAATATAGATTTGACGTCATCCTTTGATGTTGGTGTACCATTATTTCCAATAATGTATGGGCAACTTGCCAATCGTACATTATCTATACTAGATGAAATATTGGACTCGCATGACGTATTTCACTGAAAAGCATGTGCGGAATAGTGTCTGTATTTTAAGTTGTTTAATGGTCTCGATCTAAAGACATTGCGTAATATATTGAAACAACACGAGGCGTTAACTTAATGTCTCGCTCTCGACCATTTAACCATACTTATTATATTGTTATCTAATGCATTATCATCTATGGAAATTGTGATCAGACAATGTCATCATTTGAAAAGAGGGAGATATCTGATTATAATATACTATTCTTACCGTACAGGGCGGTTGCATCCAAGGTTCTCCATCAATTTGCATTGGAAACCTTTTACGTGTCCTATATAATATAAACAAAATTTCATTTACTGATTACACACACAACCAAATATACTGATTACACACACAACCAAATACACACATATTCTGATTACACACACAATCAAATACATGGTTTACACCCACAACCAAATACACTGATAACACACCAAAATCAAATACACCGATTTTCCACAACCAAATACACTGATTACACACACACACAACCAAATATACTGATTAAACACCAAAAACAAATATAGCGAATTCATACAACCAAATACACTGATTACAGCTCAATTAGAATCCAAGACACTGATAGACAGACAGATGTACAAACCCATTTTAACCGGACAACAAGTTTGTATATTTACAAGTGATAAGTATAGATGAAACCTACCTAATAACAACCTGAGAGCATTGTGCTAATCGTCGACCTGATGCCCTTAATCCAGCATACACTTGTCCTACATGCATACTGCTCTCAATACCAACTACTTCTATCATTTTATCACCAACATCTATAATAGATAACAGATTTTAATGGCCTCCTCCCCTTTAAAACACCAGATTTTAATGTCCTCCTCCACATTCAAATAGGACATTTTAATGGCCTCGATCCCTTTCAAATAGGAGATTTTAATAGCCTCTCTCCCCATCATTAAAACAGATTTTAATGGCCTCCTCCCCTTTAAAATAAGAGATTTCAAAGGCCTCCTCTCCTTTAAAATGGGAGATTTTAATGGCCACCTCCATTTTCTAATAGGACATTCTAATGGCCTCCTTCTCTTTCAAACAGGAGATTTTAATGGCCTCTTTCCCTTTTCATAGGCGACTTTAATGGCCCTCCTCCACTTTCAAATAGGAGATTTTAATGGCCTCATTCCCTTTCCATAGGCGATTTTAATGGGCCCCCTCCACTTTCAAATAGGAGATTTTAATGGACTCCTCCACTTTCAATCATATTTTTTTTAAAAAATGAACATACCCTGTACAGCTATTGCTAATTCAGCTGAAGACATACTACTTGTAGAGAATTCTTTATCCTTCTCTTTCTTTGCTTTTTGAGCTTTACGACGTTTTTTCTGACTGGGGTTATCTCCCCATAGATTCGTGCCTCCGTAAATACTGGGTATATTTAATAAGGCTATTCCTTCTAATCGAGGACCATTAGATAAATCTAATGATACACCATCACACTGGAATTGAGAAAAATTAAGAAATAAAATGGGTTCTAGATAAAAAAAATTATCTTTAAGATTATAATAACTGTCTTCATCAGCCCTGTCAGAGCAGAACAGTAGGACGTTAACCCCATCTCATTGAAACTGGATTATCTCCCTTTAGTCTCCCAGATTCACGTTTGTCTTTTAGTGAGAGAGAGAAATGAGGTTTAACGTCCACTCGACACAAACTAGGTCATTTCGGGACTAACATATGGTTTAACTTTATTTCAATAATTCGCTTGCACGTAGGGGTCTTTAGCAGTGGGAGGAAACCGGAGGACCCGGAGAAAACCCACGAGGTTGGACAGGCGACCCTACTCCTTGTCACATACAACCGGGGATTCGAAATCACGTAAGTCGACTCAATGACAGACTTTATGATACAGCGCGCGCACGCTAACCATTCAGCCATCCAACCCCCCTTGTCTTTTAGTCTCCCTGGGCCACGTTTATTTACTTCTCTATAAGATATCCTTGTCTATCACAATGTGAATTTGACTAAATAAGTGAATGACATGAAATGGGTTTAGCATGTTACTTTTCTCCACTAACTGTGCTCAGGCATACACCATACAATGTGATATGAAAGAAATTTTGCCTTAAATGTGACGTTCCAGCTCACTCTTATTTCGATGTTCAACTGTCAATCTTTAACATTCTAATGGTATACAACAGGAACTTGGTTTGAACTTGGTTTTTCGTCCCATCTGAACGATTAGACACAACACCGACAAGGGAAACGCCGGCTGAAATATCCTGAGGCCACCAATGGGATTGAACACACGACCTCCTGTCTACTGAGCATGTTGAACAATAAATCTCTAACTTCCAGTCTCAATCAGTTAAACAAATTCCGATGTTAACCTTTGTTAATAACAAGAAACTTTTTAAGTAAGTAAAAATCATTTACCATGATATCTATTTCTTCATGAAGATGTTTACATGTGGCTGCTAATGTTTCTGACGTACCAAATTCAAAATACCATAATTTGTTCTTCATTCTGAAAATATACCACGATAAAATCATATATACTGGCTATATATAATAAGGCCATGCAAAAAAATATTCAGGTTGTCATACAATCCTTCCAAAAAGTCTGATGTAAGAGGGAGATGTTTATTTTTCATTATAGATCTTTATATATTATACAGAGAGAGAGAAATGGGGTTTAAGGTCCACTCGACACAAACTAGGTCATTTCAGGACTAACATGGTTCAATTTTATTTTAATAATTTGCTTGTGCGTAGGAATCTTTAGTAGTGGGAGGAAACCGGAGGACCGGAGAAAACCCACAAGGTTAGACAGGCGATCTTACTCCTTGTAACATACAACGGGGAATCGAAACCACACCAGTTGACTCAATGACAGACCATATGATACAATGTGCACATGCTAACCTTTTGGCCACTCAACCCCCCCTTTATATATTAGACATGTGCAGCCCTTTAGCACAGAGTGAGAGAGAGATTAGGGTTTATCTAACGTCCACTCAACAGAAACTAGGTCATTTTGGTAATAACATATGGTTCAATGTTATTTAAATAATTTGATGGGTCTTTAGAGGTGAGAGGAAACAAGAGGACCCACATAAAACCCACGAGGTTAGGTAGGTGACCGTACTTCTTGTCACATATAAGTGTGGGATCGAAACTACTCCACTTCAGTCAGTAACAGACCTTATGATCTAAAGTGTGTGCAGGTATTTAAACTTGATATTTTCGACATACCGACTGTTAAATTTTTCTGGGTGTTTTTCTCTCATAATGTGGAATCTGTGACATATTGAAGCATCCTGAATAACAAATTTATATTCATATATACATTGTCAAACATCAGGCACAAAAAATAAAAAAGGAAAGAAATTTCAAATTACTGACAACCCCCCGCAAAAAAAAACAAGACCAAAATTTGTTATCATTATTCGATCAAAAGAGTAAATCTAGTCCTATTAATAGTTGAAATAGCCTGACCAATCACTAGATGCTCTGAAAGAGACAAGAGCTGTTTAAACTAATCCTGGGCCCTCATTCACGAAAACTTAAACTAAGATATAATCGAAATTTTAAGATATACTGCAATTCGATTGGCTGACCATTAAAATCAATTTGCATATATCCAATGAAGTTGCAGTATTTCTTAAAATTTCGGTTGTAACTTAGCTTAAGTTTTCATGAATAAGGGCCCTGGTGGTAATAGAGAAGTATATATTGATTATATAATAATACATACCACGCCTATAGAGAAGTAATTATTGATAATATTATAGGGTATAGGATCACCCTCTTGTTCTTCACAATCATCTGGTTTACTGAACTCTATTTTCCATCTATCTATCATAACCGCCTGGCTATGTTCTACACGTTTTAATATTTTTATTAAATTCTCTCCTTCATATCCTGGTAAAATAGAAATATAATAACAATTTTATACCACAAAACATTCAGTTGAAACAAAATGTTACAAAGCATCCCATTCAAAATGTTGATAGGGAACATTGAAAATGTTGTTATGGAACTTTGAAAATGTTGTTACGGAACATTCACCACATTGTTATGTAACATTCAAAATGTTATGAAACACTCAAAATGGTGTTACAAAACATTCAAAATGTTGTTATGAAACATTCAACATGCTGTTATGTAACACTCAAAATGATGTTACGAAACACTCAAAACGCTGCTACGAAACATTCAAAACGTTGTTACGAAACATTCAAAATATTCTTATAGAACACTGAAGAAATCATTGGGGTTTAAATAGGGTTTAATAACATCCTACTTTTCTACTCCAATGAGGTAAATGAAGATAGACAAACCCCATGTAGTGTGTTATGAGTAAAATTTTGTCAAGAAAGTGGTATTTCCACCTACTCTTCGGTCAAATTGCAACTGCAAATGGTTCTTTAACCTGCATGCACATGACTACCAAGGGCCTTGATTCGTTTATCCTATCCAATTTACTAGATGCTTTTCTTTGCAAGACCCTCAAAACTGCAACACTGACAAGGAGAGACCAAAATCAAAACCAGGACCTCCTGGTCAGTGTGTCAGTACCATACTCTCTGGGAATACAACAAGAATTTCAAATTCTTAATGACAAAACAAATCATTTATAAAATAATTCAATTTGACATACCTCCTCCCCATCTAAGGCAACGAGCTAGATCATTCCCTGTACCTAATGGCAGCACCGCTATCGGTGGTTTTTGAGCAAAATTCAGTTTATCTGAAAAACAAAAATTCATCAATATCATTAAACATACATTATGCAAGAGCTAAATCTGCCAATTGCAGGTCTTTATTTAGGCCTGAAATGCTATCTAAATTATTAATTAGACATTAATTAGCTTATCCAGACCATAATCAACGCTCAATGGCATCGCTAGCCTGCGATGTTTACTGGATTAGGTTCAGGTTTCCTGTTCGACTTCCATTCATAATTTAATCATAAAATGGATAATCGAGACTATGTTTTTTTACCGTACCGACTTTAGTAATAATGATCGAAGCTAGGCCTAAAATTCAATCGCTAAAATCTTGGTTCAGAGGGGATCAATTTGACTAAAATTTTCAGCAAATTCCCTTTACATTATCTGGTTTTAACTATTATAGTGAGAACTACCAGTTCTTTATCTAATCTCCCATAATGTGTCTTTAATTGAATCCAATCATCAAAGAATGCCACATAAACCTGTTTGACTGGTTGGAACAGTTACGCTCATACAATGTTCAAACCTAGCAACCATCTAAGCAGTTAATGGAATATAAAGAAGTTTAATGTCTCTTCAATGTAAGACTTTGGTCATGTTGAGACAAACATATTATGGTAATTCTTCTTTTTTTTCTATTTCAGGTATTCTTTATCCGAGCACATCGAGATTGGAATCCGGGATATTCTATCTCAAGAGTCTGGTGCCCTAAACGCACGATCACCACAGCCCCCTCTAAGCAGTGAAGTTGTCACTAAGTTGAAATGAAAACAAATCAATCCACTTGTTGACTTACCAATAGTATCTAGGAGCCAGCCTACTGATCCATCTCCTCCACATACTAAAACACGACAATTAGGTATTTCTTTAAAAAACTGTAAGCCTTCTGTTGGTCCACATTTAATCATATCATAAACCTGACGAGGATTTAATAAATACTGGAACTTCCGTAATATTCTACAATAAAAACATACAGAAATAATTCCTAATGTTACAGTGTACATTTCCTAACCCTTAACAAGAAAAATCGGTCAGCAAACTAAGTCAAATTTGTTTCATAGGAAACACTAAACTTATTAAAACCCAAGAAACTTATAATTAGCAAAATGTTCAAGTATTTTGAACAGTTTCATAAAGATATCTTGAAGATTAATGAGATATGCTCCGAAAGCAAAACTTACAGTTCAAATTTATTTCAAAAATTAGCTTACGAGTTTGGGTCTTTATCAGTGGGAGGAAATGTCATGAGGTTGGAAAGGTGACCCTACTCCTAGTCAAGTACAAGCCACTTCACTTAATGACAGACCTTTTGAGTTAAATAAAGCACACACATTATACCATTCGGCCACCAAATCCCACCGCAACAAAATGGAGTCCATTTTAATATCCCCTCCTTAACTTCGTTCGGCGTGGGGTAATAATACTGCTGAGTTAGTATTTTAGGTGGCCCAAGAAATTGCAAAGTTTTATCAATATAAACTAATTAACAGTCCTTGAACTTCTCAGTTTGGAACATACACTATACCACCAGGCTCCGAGTTCACAAAGAATTTACTCAACTTTCAATCACTGTTTATGACAAATATCTTTGATCCAGAAACACAAAACTTTGCACATAGTTTCTTATTGATGTATTTGATACATTAAAACAACAAACGTTTTAAAATAAGGTGAACAAAATTGAGTAAATTCTCAACTTAAGTCTGAGAATGCTTTGTGAACTAGAGGCCTGATATTAAAACTAACTTTTCATATTGTCTTCAATGTCTACCCTAAAATAAATCATCATTAAACAAAACTGTTGAGCTTACCTTCCACCCTGTTTGCCTCCACTTTTTGGGTTTATCAAAACTAATAATGGATGGGAGCCCTCAAATGGAGTCACTTGAAATGAGCTTTGGCCCTGCTATAAAAATAAATAGAATAATGTATATATAATAATTATCAAAGAACATTAATAATTTAAATGTGAATACATGAAAATATTTCTAAACAAGCCATTCTTTGAATAATTGTATATGGGTTAAAGTAAAAGGGGTTAAACTGTGGTTTCACTTATATCTGCTGGTCAATTTTTGACATATTCTATTGTTTACCCCTGATTAGCAAGATATCTATTCCAAAGAATCTGACAATTTGAAGCATTATCCAAATTTTTAAAAAAATGCATTTCTACTTGTTTTGACACATGATCATTATAAACTTTAACTGTATTTTGGGAATCTTAGGGTTGAATTCTTTCAAATTTTAATTCTATTTTTTGTAAATTGATTGACAGGTAAGTTCTCCAGTCAATCAATTTCACTGGCAGTGAGTCAAGATCGATTAATATGTCTGAAACGAGAGAAACCTGTGTTAAACATAGTCTTAGCCTGTTTCCCTGTTATAACTAAATATCATATTGTTTTACCTGTATCGGACCATCTAAGTTGGCTGAATCAACTCGAGTTAAACTCTTATTTTTGTCACTTCTTGGTCGGTCCTACAATTATAAACATAATAAACAATTAGTAAAACTATTTGAGGACTAACTTAGCACTAGTGTCATATACATGACTTCCGGAAAAAAGTTTACCTGGGCAGTTAAATCTTAAGAATTCCTAGATAAAAGTTATGTTTATTAGAGCCTAGTGTTTGTTAATGCTGACCTAACAAAAAGAAATGAAATAAAATGAAATGGGGTTTGAAGTACTATTTCTAACAAAAAGACAAGTGTGTGCACAATCAGGTGAATGAAGATGGGCCTAAATCATGCTGTATACTATGAGAGAGATTACTCCTGGACAGCAGACTTACTGCCTAATCTTATTTCAAATTCCAACTGTCAAGGACTTTTTAACATGCATGCAAAGTGTACATAGGACATCGTTTTTTCATCCCATCAAAACGACTGGGCATTGCACCACTGACAAAGTGAAACCACACTGGAAAATCCAGGAGAACTTTCTCAGCCACCACCAGAAACCTGGTTCACTGGTGTGTGTTCTGTAGGGTTAATGCATCCCACATTATAATTGCTTGACTTTTTTGTAACGTGATTGATGGTTAGCAAAAGAATTTTAATCACATGTACCAGTATTTAACAGATAAAGCGTTGCAAATCCAAACCTTTTTGTCACCCCAACCCCCCAAAGCTTATTGAACTTACCAGCACAGCTGGACATATTGTTATTGGAGGTAAAGTATGATCACGGAATGGTCCTAGGTCACATTCAGGTTTTACTTGAGATGCACATTTATTGTGCAACTGAAAACAAAAACATATTAATTATAATTAACGTTTGTGATAGAGTTAACCCCCTTTAAAGGCCAACTCCATTAAAATCCTCTTACCAGCTGTGTTGAAAGAAAAGGAAATGAGATTAGGTTTAGTGTCTTCCTTTTCTACAGGCTAATTAATACAGGTTAACATCATGGAGTGTGCTATGGAGTTAATTTTGCTCGGACTATGGAGCTTTGCTCAATTCTTATTTCGCTTTGAAACTGTCAGGGGATCTTTAACATGCTGCCAATGGACGTCAGTTTTTGAATGCCAGTTTGATTTCTAAAATACACAGTTGTATGAGGTTTTCTAGAAAGAATTGACTTCTTTAATTTATTAACTAAACAAAATGAAATGGGGTTTTACACCCTAATGAAGACGGGCATACACCGTACAGTGCGCTATAAGAGAAATTTTGCCCAGACACAGACACTACAACCTACTCTTAGCTTGAATTTCACCTGTCAATTCTTCTTTTACGTGCACACAAATGTGTATACGAAACCTTGGTTGTTTGTCCCATCCGAATGACCTTATGCTGTCCTTTGTCTTGCACTACTGACAAATCCTGAGAAACTTTCTCAGCCAACACAGGGATCGAACCCCGGACCTCCTGGTTAGTGATCCAGTACCTCACTCACTGAGCCACCTGTCGACTCACCAATTAAAAGAAAGTTATTAATATTAAATCTTACCGTATAATGACACCATCTACAGTGTAAACCTGTAACACCATTATACGATTTAATTGATTTTCTACATTTGTCACATTTACCAGCACAATTACCTTCAACCCAATGATGGTTCATCGTCTGAAATCAAAATAATAAAATAAAAATATCTATTTATAGAAAAAATAAAATTACTCATGGAACAATTTTACACAGCAACATTAAATGTTTAGAAAAATGATTTTTCATGGAATTTATCTAAACCAAACCCTTGACCATGAATAAGGAAAATGACCTTTTGGTCTTAAAACTTCTTGTTTGAAATTTTCTGTCCCGTACCACCTTGAGTCCCAGTCGAGTCCCAAAGTCTATTCAAGTCGCCAGTTCATCAAATGAGTCAGCAATTCATGGCGAATAAGGTAAGTTAGAGTTATGCCCCCTCGCCGCAACCCGAGCCCCAAGTCCTTTTAATCAAGAGTTGTCATGACTGCCAAGTCCAAGTCGGGTCATTGATGCAACTTAAGTCGGACTCAAGTCCACCAAGCGGGATTCTAGTTCCCACCTCTTTTATTTAGAAAGTCAATTTTGAAAAGACAGACAATATTTCTGTATAAAATATATAATCATATATCCAATTTCTGTATAAAATATATAATTATATATCCAATTTCTGTATAAAATATATAATTATATATCCAATTTTCTAAACGAAATGATTTATACAACTATTTTCTATAATATATAACAACCACACACACATCATAGGGGATGGACATTGTAGAAAAATGTTAATATAATAAGTTCGGTTCACTAACACAAATTCAAATTATGTTTTGGTTTTTTTTTAAATAAAAAATAGTATAAAAATATAAAGATACAACATCATTGCATTCACGTTTATTGTTAAGTATATGTGCATTACTGCATATGATAAAGTGCATAATTTTAGTTAATAATTTGGGGTGCTTTAATTAAAGGACATGCATTTGAACTTTAAGTAATAATTTGTGATGAAGAAAGTGCTGATTAGAAATAATTTGTATATAATACAAGAGTAATAATTAGTGATCTCCGCAATCTTGATATAAAGCAATTTTCAAATTAGATTCCCCAAGAAGATCGCCGTAAAACTTGCCGAAAACCATATCGTGTTGCCAGCAGTATGAAAATCAGTACTTGTATAGTAAAAGCCTTAGAATATCACACCATTGTTTGTAATATCACTCTCTTTAACATTTATATTGATCCCTACTGCGATATAGTGAAACTAAACAAGGTTTTTTCTTACATATGGCAGACAATTTAGAAAAAGCTTCAGCATCCTATCGAATCCTTAATTACCAATGACAATACATATATGAATGTATAATATTCCAAACCATGGACCCAAAATATACTAATTTTTATAGTAACGCCCTACTGTGTCCTTAATCATTTTGTAGTACGTGAAGCCCCAATATATAATATATATATAAGGTGTCTCACTATAGCGCAGGTGTAGTTAATGAACCGCAAACACATTATAAGGTGAAACAACATATATAAGGGTCTCACCATAATGTGTTTGTAGTCACAGAATCCAACCACGTTATAGTGAAACCCTAATAAACAACATGAAAGGGTCTCGCTATAACACTGTTGTTGTCAGGGGACACCAACATCAGCGTTATAGAGATACCCTACAGTAATTGAAATGAAGTGTGTTATTAGTAAATAATGTGTATTTTGTTCAATATGATAGCTTACCTCCACAGTCTTCTTAAAGTAAATATTTATAAGGCAGATAAGTAAAATGGACAATTTTAAATTTTCAAATATCATTTTTAAAAACATGTCAATAGACAGAAGAAGTTTATACAATTAGTACATTACGTCACGACAAATTTGATTCTTATTCAGAATTTCCGTATAAAAAAAATATAGTAGCGTACCGAATATCAAACATTCAAAATTTGGAGTGACAAGCGTTTAATTAATAGGAAGAAGAGAGATTTTATATTTTAATATTTTCAAACAGCAAGAACTCAAAAAATATTAAAGTAGGCCACAACAATTTGATTCTTAGTTATTTCATTTTTGTATTAAAAGCAAAGAATAGGAGTGTGCCAAATTTAAACCTTTACAATATAAAGTGCCAAGAGACTACTTTATCTTTCAAAAGAAACAATAATTTCAATAATTCAGGATTGAACTTTGAATCAACTAAAATCATAATTGATCTGGCCTTTGTACATTCAACAAGTTATATGCTAGGGTTAATGTTTCAGAAGAAGTAAGATCAAAGATGAAATTAATGTCTGCGTATGTCAAGCTATGTTATAATTTTAAGTTTAGCTTCCAGGTGTGGTTATATAAATATGAAATAATTACCTGTGTTGTTTTTTTAGATTTAACATAAGTTGTAATACATGAGGCTGGTGCCCGATGAACACATCTTTCATGAACTGTATACTTACAAACTGAAACAAATATATTTAAAAGATAATATCAATCTGATTAAAACACAGATCCTATTTCGTTTTGTTTTTTTAAGAGTTCAAAATTTTGTTTAAACCAGACTCTGGAAAAGTTGTTATATAACCTGTATTCCGGTTGATGTGAGGGATTAGCCAATGAAACAGACTGTTGCGGTCAGTTCTTGGTGTGCAGTGCAAGAAACTGTGGGTATCCCACTAGAAATATCAACGCTGATTGGTTAATCAAATGTCTGATGTCAAAGGGTCAAAAGCCACTCATATGAGCCCTGACTACAACTGGTCAGATCGTCATGTAGTGGAGGCCACCGTAAGTATAAAAAAAATGAAACGAAATATAGATTTGTATTTTAATCAGATTGAAATAGAACGTTAAGGATCCTACTAATTACCTACAAGATTGTCAATATCGCCTAGTAATATATTCTGATTAAAACTGTATTAGGGGTTTAGCCATTGCTTTAGAAATATTTTTATTTGCCATCTTGTTAAAATGATACAGATTTTAAAATAAAGTATTTTACTTGACAAATTGTCAATGCGCAACCACGCCAGAATATCCTGAGAAAATTTCTCGGCCATCACCGGGAGCAAACTTGAGACCTCCACGCTAGCGAGCCAACATCTTACACACTGAGCCACCACGGCTCCTCCCCCCCCCCCCCCCTATACATATTCATGAAATGAAATGGGGTTTAACGTCCTACTGTTCTGCTCCTAACCTGGGCTAAAGAAGACGGGCATATGCCATACAGTGTGCTATGAGGGAAATTTTGCACAGGCAGCGGCGCTACGGCCTACTCTTATATCAAATTCCAACTGCCAAGGGATTTTTTACGTGCACGCCAATGTGTACACGGGACCTCGGTTTTTCGTCCCATCCGAACGACTAGACAGCTGTCCTTGCCATGCCCCCTGCCCTACATCCCTGACAAGGAGAAACCACGCTGGAAAATCAGGATGAACTTTCTAGGCCAATGCAGGGATCGAACACCTGACCTCCAGGCTAGCGAGCCAGCGTCTTACCATATATATTCATATTAATAATTAGAGCTGCAACGATTCAGTTCTGTGCACCGATAACCGACACTAGCGGTCTTGGTTCGATCCACGATCTACAACGTTCAAATTTCGATTCGGTTCAATTGCAAAATAAATTTCAAATAAAAACAACGTACACCTTACCATATGAAAAAAAATGAAAGACCTGTAGCAATTAAGTCCACTTAAAATTTAAAAAAAACTTTTGTTTTTACGTAACTTTTAATTTACGTTATTTAACAAAACACGAATGTCACTCGAAAACATAACTAAAACAGAGTGACCTCCCTTTAAAACAATTTCCGTATGCTGACGAAAGTTAATTTATTTAAAATTGGTGACATACCAAATGTTCATTGGATGTTAATTTAGGTCAATAGCTTCGGTAATCGTTATATAAATTCTAAACGATCTCATTAGCTGATAATTCTGGTCATTATCTTCGGATATTTTCGTGTTTAGCGATTATTACCCATAGTCAAGCAAACACTGGAGGATAAAATTATGGCAGACGACGTACTTTCTCGACCACCTGGTTATTTGAAATCTAAAGTTTGGGATCATATATAGAAAAAATTACTGGTCATTGTAGCTGATAATCAAATTGAAAATAATCGAATCGAATGGTTAAAATCGATAATCGAACCGAATCGAGGTAGTTGTGAATCGTTGCAGCCCTATTAATAATCCCCTACAAACGGTATTTAATATAAGATCTATCTTATTTTTAATTATATTTCTGACTCAACAACATATCGTGTATATATAAATAAATAAAGATTACATACATGTACAACTGAGACCCTGTTTTCCCAAGCCAACCAACAGATTCAAGCATAAATTACAATACGCTGGCCGACTAAAATGTTTTAATCTCCAAACATGACTTCCATCGTCTTGTACATTCTGTTCAAAATAAAATATTGTATAATTAACAGAACTATAAAATAAAATATTGCATAATTAACAGAACTATAAAATAAATTATTAACAGAAATGAAGTGGAGATGAAATTTAATTTTCCATAAAGGTAGACAACTCCTCATTGCTTGACACCACTTTATAATTTTTGAAAAATATGGCAAATGGGGAGAGAGAGAGAGAGAGAGAGAGAGAGAGAGAGAGAGAGAGAGAAATGGGGTTTAACATCCACTTGACACAAACTAGGTCATTTCGGGACTAACATATGGTTTTAATTTTATTTCAATAATTTGCTTGCGCGTAGGGGTTTTTAGCAGTGGGAGGAAACCGGAGAACCTGGAGACCCTACTCCTTGTCACGTACAACTGGGGATTCGAAACCCCGCATGGCAAATGGTGCTAGCATCCTAGACTAATAAGTATATAAATGCCCTTCTTAACATAGAATTCTGTTGAACTTTTCCTATTGCATAATAAGCTTGGTATCTAGATCAGAATAATAGTTCTTTTCTGATGTATTTCGGTGGGACTACCGTCTCTTTAAAGAGTTAGACTTGATTGTAAAAACAGGTAGTTTATCTCATGTTTCATATATACACATATATTGGGAGGCTTCCATTTTTATATAATGACCTTAAACTTGATATCTCGACCCCTGTGTTACTGATACTTGTGTTTTGACAAATTTTAACTATACATACTTGTATTATTTAAAACATATTTAAAAATGGGTGTCAAATTTAAAGATAGATTGTCTCGTGGTTTTGAAAAGGTATTCAATATTTGTTGAAATAAAGTCTACTACTTACTGTATCAAGACCTAATAAAACTAATAAAGGAATTGTTGTCATTCCTCCTTTCTTCCATTCTTCCATGGACACCACACCATCAGAATCATAATCTATCTCTAACATCATATCTTGAAGAATCTGAAATAGACAAATTTACAGGAATTGAATGGAATTTGGTTTAATGCTGGGCCATCTTAATGCATGGGTTCACTGGGCTGTTGTTGGAGGGCCCCACAAGCATAGAGACCCCATGTTTATCTATGTATGCTGTTTTAACACTGATTTTGTTGGAAATACCAATAGAATAAATATATATTTAAAATTAAAGAATCCCCGCTCAACAGAATACACAACAGACTTGTAGAAGTAGAAGATGGTTTAATGGGTCAACGTTTCGGGTGCAATACCCTTTATCAAGATTAAATTTAACGATCCTTTCTTTCTTTTTTTAACAATCTTTATACTGTACATAAATAAATTTTAAAATCCTGTGACGTCATCACCATTATTGTATATAAGGCGCCACAGGATCATCATAATTTAATCTTGATAAAGGGTATTGCACCCGAAACGTCGACCCATTAAACCATCTTCTACTTCTACAAGTCTGTTGTGTATTCTGTTGAGCGGGGATTCTTTAATTTTAATTTTATTTTACTACTCCGCCCCGCTGGTATCATCTTTTGATCCAGTCTCCACACAGATGTATCAGCCTGTCCAGCTTTAATTACTCTCTAAGGGAGTGTTGCCGTACCCTTTTCCTGTTTCCAATAAATATATATGTTTAATCTTATCGACCATTTACATTTCTATTCCTGTAAGGGGTTGTGTAGGTATGGCACTAATGCACTGCTTTACTTGGGGGGGGGGGCTTATAATGCCCAAGGGCCCCACGAGCATAGGGACCCCATGCTAATCTATGTATGTTTTGTTGGAAGTACTAATACAATAAATATATGTTTAATTTTATCGACAATTTATATTTTCATTCCTGTAAGTGGTTGTGTAGGTATGGCCCTAGTGCACTGCTTTACCCAGGGGCCTATAATGCTGAAGATAGTCCTGGTTTAATGTTTGTCTGATGTTTTACTTAAGTTATTTTGTGTCATCAATCCAGTACTGTACTTTTCACATTAGTAATTTTCAATTTGCGATATAACGACAGTTCCCCTTTAATTTCTCTGATATAAAAGTTAAATTTGTTTGATTAAAATTGTGATTAATTGGTTACTCCCTTTATTTTGGTGGGGGGGGGGAGGGGGTATTTACTCTGATTTAAATGGTAGTTCCCTTTTAGTATATCTATTCTAAAAACCAAAACTTTTTTTGTTTCAAATTATGATTAAATGGTAGTTCCCCTTAAGTATATGTATTCTAAAAACGTTAATTTTGTTGTCTCAGTTTGTGATTAAATGGTAGTTCTGCTTTATCATATCTGAAAATTTAACATTTAATTTGTTTTAATTGTTTCAAATTATAATTAAATGATAATTTATTATAATATCAGATCTTAAATAGTTAACTATTGTTTCAAATTATGATTAAATTGTAGTTCAGATGTATTCTAAAAAATTTAAATTTGTGATTAAAAGGTAGTTTCTTTTTACTATGTCAAACTGAGGAGTTAAACTTTTGATTCAAATTATAATTAAATTATAATTTAGTATATCAGATCTTAAAAAGTTAACTCTTGTTTCAAATTGTGATTAACTTGTAGTTCAGATGTATTCTAAAAAGATTTTTTATCTCAAGCTTTAGTATATCTATTCTAAAATCTAAACTTTGTTTGTTTCAATTTGTTATAATTATATAAATACCCAATAAATTAGTATATATAAATTACAAGTTAAATTTTGTTTGTAACAAACTATTGATAAATCTATTTTGTAATTATCACCACAGACTACTTACTGGCTTGAGCTCAGAAACATCCCAGCCCAGATATTCTGCTACAGACATCATTTGATTTACTATACAATCTAATTCCTGCAAGAAAACAAACCACAAAGATTTATACATTTAATCATCTCTCAACAAAATCTCTTGTCCATTCCACACAAGTGTAGAGTTGTGAGTTACGTATCTGGACTAGAATTGTTTATTTAAAATATACGATGGGAAACTGTAATTTATAGTCAAGTCTGTTGATTGCTTTTCTCTAGTAAATTTATGACTGGTTCCGAATAATTTGGTTTGAAATAATCCTGATACCTGAACAGACTAGGAACTATTCTTAAAATTCTTACATTTAGATTTCGGTTTCTGAATATCTGAATTCGTACCCAGGGCATACTTGAACTATATAATCCAAGTATAGGCTACTTCATTTTTACCATGTAAATATTGTTTTTCTATATATAACATATAATTGTCGGCGATATCACTTCAAATGGAAGCGGACGTTAAATAACGCTATTTCACACACACACGATTTTTGGGAACTGCATAAAATTCTTCAAGTTGAGTTGGATAAAGTTGGGGATACCTAATTTAGCAAGGCCAAATCCATGTTAAAATGTATTCTTAATTCATCATTTAACATTTAACTAAGACTACAAAAATAAAATATTTCTCAGTATGCATTCAATTGGATTAAAAAGAGGCCCATCAAAAGAATTTATGCGTACAATGCCTTGTTTAGATCGTCAGCAGATGACACCAAATGTTGCAAATTTTTAATTCATCATATCTTTGTGTATGACGTTCAGCGGCTTTACGCGATCAAAAAGAATTATGGTTACCATGGCTGAGCTTTCTTTAACTATAATATTTCATTTAACTTTTGTATATCTAGGAGATTTTAGTTTTGTGAGTAAAAATAGTATGATTTACTTACACTGGAATCTAACAGACCATTACCATCGGCATCATATAATCGAAACATAACTAAAATTTACAAAAATAAAATCAACTTGCTTGAAAGACAAATTGTGAAAGATTAAATTATTCAGTCACACTAGTGGATTGACCTTTTAAGACTAAATCCTAGCAAAAGTCTTAAATGATAAGTCCTTTAGGTTATTGTTCTCTGTTGAGTTGGATATCAGCTATTTTTAGAAGAAGTTCCTATTAGTTTGTACTTTGTAGGCAAAATCTACATAAATATGACTTCTATACTTTGAAGATGTATCTTGTCTTCATTAGCCCAGTCTGAGCAGAACAGTAAGACATTAAAGCCCATTTCATTTATTTAAGAGAGAGAGAGAGAGAGAGAGATGGGGTTTAACTCCACTCGACAGGAACTAGGTCATTTCGGGACATGGTTCAGTTCTCTTTCAATAATTCGCTTGCACGTAGGGATCTTTAGCAGTGGGAGGAAACTGGAGGGACCGGAGAAAACCCAAGAGGTTGAACAAGCGACCATACTTCTTTGTCACGTACAACTGGGGAATCGAAACTATGCCAGTTGATTCAATGTTACTAGTTTCGTTCGTATTGAACTCTTCAGACTGATTTGACTATTCTGTAAATGAATTTACTGGGGTTAATATTTGGCGGGGTTGCCGGGGTTATTTTAATGGTGTTCGGTGTGTATTGGCGGGGTTTGGTATTTTAGCGGGGTTGCCAGGGTTGTTTTACCGGGGTTTGGTATTATGGCAGGGTGCATTAATTTGCCGGGTACCAGGGTTTGGTATTATGGCAGAGTTCATAAATGTGCCAAATACCGGGGTCCGGTATTAACGCTAGGGTTGGTTAATTTAAGATGTATCAATAGGCATAAAACTCATTAACAAATTTTACTGTTCAAATGAAAGGATTTGTCCTATAGATATAAATCCAGTAGTGTGACTCAGTCCTTAGGGTTTTGTTTTCATCTAGGATTACAACAATTCAATTTGAGTCAAGAGCTATTTGTTACCCTCCCAACCATCGTCTCCTGACCATGATTTATCCCTCACATATCATCCATTAACAATCATGTCCGACTTGAGCCATATTATCTTGACTCGTACAACATTAACATTAAAGTATCTCAACATGATATATGGAAACACATTTAACAATCAAATTCCCTTTGCTGTGTTTTATATATTACGTAAGAAGTCAACCGGAAATTCACCGTCTGGACTACTGTCTGGTTGCACACGTTCAGATTGTATCTCTCAATCACATTTCAAATAAAGTTTTTTGGGAACTTGCATTCACAGTTCCGATAGATGTGGTATGGAAGAGTAGGAATAACAAATCTCTCGAAACCCATGACAATTTTAAAGAGACATTTTTTAGGGACATATGAGCTGAAGTTTTGGTAGGACCAGTGACGTAGCATGGATCAAAATTTTTCAGGGACATATGAGCTAATTTTTTGATAGGACCAGTGACGTAGCATGGATCAAAACATTGCCTCAATACAACTAACACAAATAATTTTTATTTTGTCCGGTCTGCGAGGGAGAATTTTACTTTTCATTTGTTTTTTTTATTGTTTGTGATAGGGAAGCCCATGACACCTTGCTCTATTTCCTCCCCCCCCCCCTACACAAAATAAAATCCTTTAATAGGCATACGCCACTGGGTGCCAGTCAGATCTGTAACTAGGGGTTGGGGGAGCCCCACCTGAAAAAAGTTTCGCCCCCCGCCCCCTATGAAAAAATTGTCGGCTATAAAAAAAAATAGATATACATTGTTCATGAATTTTACAGCACCCCTGAGAACACTTCCGCCCCCCCCCCCCATTTGCTCTGAGCTAGTTACATCCTTGGTGCCAGTGGGTGGGCTGAGGAACTAGTCCTCCTCATAAATTCTCTGTGTATAATTACAGGAATTAATATAAACAAATTCTAATCTCAAATTGATTGTGCCAAATCTAAACAAAATAACCAATAAAATACCAGCCTAACTTACATTCCAATTTATCTTCCGGTCGACCTGCTTCTAATAACGATAAATAACAAACCAGGTCTTTCAGGAATATATGGCCATTTTTTATATCAAAGCTACTCGAACGATTTCGTTCAGCTTTTTTATCACCTTGAGTTTTTAATAAGGAGGAATTGGACTGTCGTATCCATGGGTCAACACTTTCTAATAATGGACCTGAAAATAAGATATGTTTTATTTTTTAATTGTTAAGTCCCTGTTTCACAATCGGTCCAACACTACAATAGATATAAGCACACAGACATCAACCCTTTGAATTTCTGTATACGATAATATTTTGATATGATAACACAGTTTAAGACACCCAATTCCAGTGCATTGCATATGCTCAGAAGACCATGCATGAAGACCAAAATCATGTATGAAAAAGTAAAAAGAAATAGGAGAGAGATCAAGGACTGTTATTTTTTCCGAAAAATATTATTTGGTATAAAAGGCAGCGATTCAATATCATTGATGCTTAATATTCATAATGTTTATTACATTATTATCGATGCTTAATATTCATAATGTTTATAACATATTTGTTTAGTAATGACAATCAATGATCACACCAGACTACAAGGTTTAATCTAAATCTTAAAGCATTATGGCATTCACCTCACACAATTAGCATCCAAATTCCACACACTACTTAAGATTATTTTCTTTCCTGTGAAAAACACCATGTCTTGTTGAACTCTTTAATAATTTCACTTTTAAACGACCCAGAAGAGGGGTTTTTTTTTAAAACCAATTTTTTTCATTTATCTTGCAATATTATTTTTAATCACAGCTCAAACTATACATTTGTGAAAATGTCATCTTGAATTCAAATTCAAACGAGTTATATCAGTTCGGTATTTAATGGAAAAAAAAACTATTTTTAGAAATGGACATCCCATAATTATAACTATACACCTGCACTACTAGATTTTTGAATCTGTGAAATGTTTTACTAAATTATTTTGTGGCTTATTTCTATTTTATTTTTCTTAATAAAGACGCTGGAATACCGCACTAGGACAGGGGGAAAACCCATGACGCGCAACTAAGGATAGGGGAAAACCCATATGTGCCCTGAAGGATAAGGGGAAAACCCAATATGTGCTAGGAATCAATAATAAGGGGAAGACCCAGCATATGCCATTTAGGAAGGTATAATAACAGGTACCCACCATTGTGTATACTATGGATGCTGTGATTGGATTTTTTGGAGGATGACCTTGAGTGATTGGATGCCTCTTTGGCTAATTCTTCTTCTAGTAGTGCACGGTCTGCAGCAGATGCCATGCCGATAGCAGCATGAATTGACGCAGACGCTGAACCTAGTGTTACAAATAATTCACATTTTATATTATAAAAATGTCTGCCTATAATTTTTTCTGTCCTAAAAATTAAGTTGCTACAGAAGATGAGCAAACACATGCCAGAACCTATTTCTATATGATATATATCTTCACAATATCAAGGTCCTAACAACATACATTTGATACTAAGACTGTGTTAGCTGACGTTTTTGTACAACAGAAGTTATATGAATACAACTTATCAATCCTACCAATCATACAGGCACACTTTTTAATGTTTTCTTAAGGCCAATGTTTACAAGAAACATTTCAAGTTGTTAAAAAAAAACTGGAGTTTGAAAAACAGTTTTGTGGAACAATGCCTAATGACAGGTTAGAACAGTACTGTTTTAACGATATGCCAATATAAGGATTCAATTTCCTTATATGAAGGTTGCAGCTTTTGTAGAGAGTTTTTAGCTCTTAGTCAATGAAAGTGATTCATCCTTAAAATAAGTTTTCATGAATAAGGTCACAGGACTTCAATATTTGCACTAAACCGAGTACAGAATTGTTTTGACAATTTATTATTTGTAATCGAATCTTGGTACAATTTAAGATCAAGCCCAACAAAAACATCAAAACTGTCAATCGAAAATAATATTTTATTCCTCGGTTTCCAGACATGTCCAGTAAATATTGAAACTGTTATTTCTAAATAATTGACAATGTCAGCTAATTCGGTCAAGACATCAAGACATATTTAGTCAGACCTTGATATTTTGAGGAAGAAATGAAACACAGGAGAGCATATACCCTTTCACCACTTTCCTCATTCCTGTCCGTGTTTATTTGCTTCAATCACTATTATTTTGAAATTAGAGGAAGGCGGCCATTTTTGATTAGATTGATCAATTAAAGATATAGATATTGGTCATGTATTGATCTATCAAATACAAACTGAAACCTTTTACTCTAAACAACAAGCTCACTACAGGAAACATCTATAAGCAGCCCGATACTCTTCAGTACTGAAGACAAATAATTCATGCAAACATACCAGTATTTAACTATATCTACAAGGTTTAAGCCATGCCAATTTAGACTTAATCATCAAGCCAATGTTCATCTTTGATTATGTTATGAACTGGAAAAGTTTGAATCTTCATAAAACAGTGTTGTTTTGAAGCACATTTTTAAATTGGCTTAAGTTAACCTACGGTAAAGGGCAGGAGGGAATAGAAAGACCAAAATGCAAAAGGCATAGCATGTCCCAGTTAAATCTATGTATAGATTTCTAATTTTGCAGACGCATTTGTGCTGCATTCAAATTTGGTTAAATCAGGCGTTTTCTAGAATACAAATTTTGACAAGGTTGTGTATTCCCTTTGTAACCCCGAATTGGCTTTAAATCAAATAATTCAGATATTAAAGCCTTATCACCATTTTTCCTAAATTTCATTATACAAATATAATGGTAGATATAGGGCTTGTCGGGCCCCTTAATACGTTCACCTGCAGCAAAGTAGTTCAAGATTGCCCTAAAATTATTGTCAACAAATTCCTGCAGAAATTTTTGTTTAAAAAATCCAAACTAGATTTAAATAATTCAATTATGAAGAAAAAAAAAGTACATAATGGTAACTTTGCAAAACACATTTAAAATTTACGATATCAATATTAAATTTAACAGGGTCCCTTCTTACGCTACATGAACGATTCCACCAGGTTTTATTAAATTCTATTTAGAACTGTGTCCTAAAATACGGTCATAAGACTTCAGAAATCTTAACATTAACAACGCAATCAAAAATTCCAGAATATCGATCAAAGTGTGCTTTATGATCCGATGAACAATCTTTGTGAATTAGAAAAGAGTCTTTGAACTCTTGACCTTTAGGATGTTCACAAGAATTTGTGGTAAGGCGACTGACTGACAGACGAAGTACATGACAATATACATCCACTTTAAATGTATAAGAATAACTGACATCAGGAGAATAAATAAACTACTCCTACCTTCTGGAAGACAGAGGCTAAACATACACCATTAACATGCTTTGAATTGGATATAAAGATATTGGGAATAGAAAAGAAAGTAAATAGATCTGTTGACACCTAAAAACAAGACAGGCTTATAGCATAAGTAAGTCATCTAAATTAACGTAAATAGTATTGTTATGTTCACGTTGATGGCAAATTTTTTCTTACGTTCATTTGTTTTAGTTGGATTATACCAATCTATTTTCTATTTTTGTTGATGGTCAACGTTGTGATATTTATGGCACTTAAATTATTTTTTGGTAACTATTAGCTTACAGTTTCATAGTATATGAATCAAATATTAAATTTATCATTAAAGATACATTATGTCAGATTTAGACAAAGAGCTGATCATTCTTGTTATAACAGTTCAAAAATAGATAATGATAAATTACTTTATTCTGAGTGAAGTTATGACTGTTTATTATCGTAGCAACAGTACTTGATAATCAAGGCTAAGTCTCGATTATCCATATTATCATTAAATATTTAAATCTTGCAGGTGTTTTAATCAATTTAAATCTCAGCCATCCGATTAGCTAGTGAGTAGATTATAGACTCGTCATATCTAAATATAAATATCTAAATAAGGCTAAAATAAAGACCTTTAATAGACAGATTTAGCTCTTACATAATGCATCTTTAATTCATCATTAAAGATTTCTGTAACAAATACCAGCTGCTAGATTTATTTCTATTTATGGTCACAATTTTGACATGTCTGGAGCTTATGTTGTTTTTTGGGTAACTATTAGCTTTTAGTTTCATAGTATAGGAAATATTTAGCTACATAAATTCATCATTAAAAAGCTAGTTAAATTTCTGTAACCAATACAGGTTGTAGCTAGATATCATGCAAAATGTATTAAGAACAAAAATTTAATACAACGAATAATATTTTACACTTAACAATTACAGCCCACGAAATTAGTTTGATAAACAATAAATACCATAAATAGGAATAATCACTAACATGCCAAAAATGGATGGAAATCTTATTATTTTAGTATTAAAGTATTTATTTAATAAAGGTATATGTCATGTATTCAACTAATGATATAGCCAATCTCACAAACAAGACTAACAACATCAATATCGACCACCATAATTTGACCAATCACAAAAAAAAAACTGCTTTAGTTGTCCAATTATTTCCCAATTACTTAAAATCCTAATCTGTATATATTTAGATTTACTATTAGTATTCAACGGTTTCTTGACCTTAACCAATTATTAGAAACAGTACCTAATTTAACATCATATAGTTTCTATTGTCATTTTTGTCATTAATAACATAAACCCACATGCAATTATAAGAAAGGTAAATTCTCTTATTTTCTTTAGGTGTACTAATTATAAGGCCATACAAAAAAAAATATTCTGGTATTCGGAAAATCCTTCCCAAAAATCTGATGTGGGAGGAAGGTTTTTGCGGTTTTTTGGCTCTTATTTAGTCACGTTTTAACTCAAGGCACTACATTTATCTCATCATGCTTTTAAATGTATGATTATCCAGTATCATTTATGATTGTCAATAACATTTATCAGGGTTGCATATTTGATAATTGAGCCTACGGTTCATATCCAGATTCATTCGAATTTTATTATAGTTACTTCCTGTAACCCGGGGAAACACTTACATGCGATAATTAATAAGACTGTTTTTATTTTTCATGCTGCTTTTTTTAAGTGATGTGGGAGTAATATGAGAACCAGGATATATTGCCTATTTGGCCTAAATTGAAGATTGGGAGATATCTATTGAGATAAAATACACAATGAAGATTCAAATACATTTAACAGTAAATAAACAAAATATTGTACATAAAATTGATTAAACTTAATTGTAACAACTGATTAAACTTAATTGTAACAAATGATTAAACTTAATTGTAACAATTGATTAAACTTAATTGTAACAAGTTACATGTAATTTTGGGACTTACCAAAATTTGTTATTTCATCTATTAAAGCTATTTGAACAAGTTATTACGTTACCGGTATACTGAATTCAACTCGACATGCAGAATGACATTCTAGACTAATAAACTAATATATAAAAGTTTTCTATATTAAATTTCTAGATTGACAAGAGTAAAAGAATAAAATGTCAATAATGGAAACAAATTGGCAAAAACTGAACTTGAATATTAGTTCATACCTAATCGGCTGCAAATACGTAAATTCGGTCATACATTTCCAATTGAACAAATAAGAGGTTTTTATAGAATCGAGGACGCCTAAGCACACAACAATGGGGTTGACATTTTAAGTTTTGGTATAAGACGTTACTATATTGAATTGTTACAGGGTTGTTACTGAACGATAGCAAAATAAGAAGAAAGGCAGAAAGTCATTCATTATTAGTAACATGTTAATACCTGCTCGACTCTGTCTCCCAGATTCTCCCCCACTGCTGTCATGGCGACCGTGACCTTTATCCCCAGAATGGTGACCGAGGCCGTGAAGTTTTTCCGTTAATCCATGTAGCTTTTCAGCCAAGCCATGGTGCTTTTCACTTTTTTCAACATGAAAGCCTGTAGTGGTTTGATGCGTTATCGGAGCACACACTGTCTGAGCGACCACCGCCACATCTTTCACATTATAGTCCTTACCACTAGCAGACGGGGTCACTGGTTTCTTCATAAAAGAGAGGAAGACATGTTGACATAATTCTTCAGGCACCTGAGCTTCAAAATATGAATCCATAAACAAATTAAATCCCTCATAGTCCATCGGCTGAAATAGAAATTTTGATCATTAGAGTAAAAGAAAACAAACAATCCAAACTCTGAACTTGTGTCTTGTTGCTACGTTACTATGGTTATTTTGAGACTTAACAGAGCAGAGATTTTGCCCAAGCAGTGGCAAAAGTTTCAACCTACTCTTCTTCAAATTTCAACTGCCAAGAGTCTTTCCTTTGCAGAAGTTCTTATATATCACACACTTTCCTTTTTAGCATTGGCCCCAGCCCCAATAAGAGAGGGGTAACGTGGCTTCAAAATTCCTGATGATTTTTAAAACCCATGTCATGATTTGGAACCATGACAATCTGGTTGTGAATCCCAAACAACCACAGAGGCACAAGAAAGTTTTGGTCTCATAGATACCAGATGATGGGCGTTGTGCAAAGAGATAAGATAAGCATACTGTTTTGAACACCTGATACCACTTGTAACATGGGGTTATCTGTGATAGGTTTATGTAGCTAACAGAAAGAAATGAGATTAATGCCAAAATCAGGACATGTCATCTTGGAACTAAAATCTGGTCCTTGTAATAATTTGCTCGAGCACAGATATCTTTAAAAGCTATCTGATTAAAATACAGAACTATCTTTCGTTTTTTGTTTTTTTTATACTTTCAATAACCTACACTACATAAAGATCTGACCGGTTGTAGTGGAAGGTCGTGTCAGAGGTGATACAAGCAGCTTTTGACCCTGTGATGTCAGATATTTGATTAACCAATCAGCATTATGTTTCTAGTGGGTTACCCACAGTTTGTGCACTCGCCGCAACGGACCGTTTCATTGGCCAATCCCTCACACTATCCAGAACATAACAACTCTTCCAGATTCTAGTGTGATAAAGACAAATAGGATCTGTGTTTTAATCAGATTGCTTTAAAAGTGGAAGGAAACCAGAGTCCTCCGAGAAAAACCGACTATCACCTGCTCTGGGATATGTTCGGGTCCTGATAAAGGATAAAAGTAAACAAATTAATTTTCCTTACCTCTTCCGGATTATACTTGGATAATTTTCCTTCCCCATTGAATTCCTGGAGTACATCTTTCAACTGTTTCGATGAATCTGAAAAATAATATAGAAATTAAATTTTATGTCACTGCTAGCATAAATTTTTGGCAAAATAACCTTATCACTTGGAACTCTAAAATCTTTCTTTACTCCCAAAATGAAATGAAAGTAAATGGCGGTACATTAATTTGCGACTAGTTTTTAATCTCAGGTTCATTTAAAACTAGGTGTGTTATATTTCAATACGCTATGAGGGCCACTTTTCATCAGAAGCGAGAAAATTTTGAAAAATAAAGCCCTCGTTTAAAGTGTCTGATCGTCATTAATTTGTGGGCTCTGAATCCCTTCCAATCTACAGTATTATGAAAACTGAATGTCTAAATTGATTATCCATTCAGTATTTACAAACATATGATGAACTGAACAATTCACAACATTAAAGGGGCATTAGGTAAGATTAGATAATTCTCGCTATTATAGTTAAAAAAATAAATAATGAAAACAAAATACGCTGAAAATCTCAGTCAAATTGCTTCAATTTGAACCAAGATATTAGTCAGTGAATTTTAGGCTAGTCTTGGTTGTCATTACTGACGGTGGTATGATAACAAAGTCTCGATTATCCATATTTATGTTAAATTATCCATCACAAAATGTATTCAAATTCAGTCAATATCGGAAGCTAACGATGGCATTGAAGGTTGATTATGGTCTGGATATGTTAATTAATGTCTAATTAATAATTCAGATTTAGATAACTTTTCAGACCCAAAGAAAGACTGGCAATAGGCAGATTTACTTCTTGCATAATGCCTGTTTAAACAAACAAACATGAGCCACATGTAAGCTTTGGATAAAAAATTTGCATCTTATTCATGTTTAGGTTTATTTTTCTTAATCAATTGGAGTACATTTGAGCATGGACTAAGCCATGAAAAATACGATAGTAAGTAATAAAAGAGACAGAATTCTCATTTTTCACGAAAATTAACCTTCTTAGTCCCCAAAAGTGTAAAAAACAAAGCCAACCAGACAACAGGTACCTAATAGAGATAAAGGAGTTCTTCAGGGGAGAATTTCTAGCATTAAAGGCCAAGCCACATTCTCATTTGTCATTAAAAAAAATTGCCTTCTTTACTTAAGAATTGAGAAAATTAAAGTTGTTCAATAAACACACGGCTAATAATATCGATATTATATCTGATGAATCTATGCCAGGAGAAAATTCCAGTAATCAAAGCCAAAAGATGTTCTCACTTTTCATAAAAATTAACTTGTTAGTCTTTAAATCAATTTGACGAGATGTCAAACATGGTTTATTACAGTTATTTAATAACAAGTCAAGTAATATTATGTAAAGGAGCTTGACGTCTGTCTTCATCCACGCCATTATAGACAGTAGGTATACAGCCATCAGCGACAGCCATGTTAACATACGGTCGATTGTGTTTGCACAACCCCTTTTCATTTCTTTCATTATTTCTGTAACCTACTCTATGTTGATTAGGGTACTCTAACCGTATTATCCATTTCTCTTCATTTACTAAGCTTACAATCTCCGCGTACAAATATACAAATGTGATTTAGAAATAGGATAAATGGATTTTGGTTCGCGATGGGTATATTGTAGTCTTGGTCGACTGTTACTCTGGGCTATGTAACTTAACGTCTGCTTGCGAGGTGATGAGTTTGATTACAAGTCATAGAACAAGACTTCATCATCAATATCCAATAGCCCCTCTCACTTTTAAACACTTAACATGACATTTTATCTTTGAATCACATGTGTTATTCACTCAGGACAACAATATCAATATTTTTTAGCTCAGTTTTGGGGAAAACTGTTGTTTTATTACCAGTGGTGTAAAATTATTTCTTAAGAGGAATAATACACACTAATAAGGTCTCCAATCAAGGAAAATTGTATCCACAATCTACAATACACCTAGTTTGTCTCGAATGAACACTCTCTCTCTTTCTCCCTCTCTCATGTGTTTTATTTGTTCTTTCTATCTTGTATTAAGCAGTTTTCCTGCATTGTTTATTTACATATGACATGGTTAATTTGTCCTAAGAATTTTAAAAGCCAGAGCGGGATGATCATGATCAAAGTAGCATGGACAGCCAATTTGGTGTGTATATTTTTGGTCTTGTATGTCCCGTCTGTATTCTGCTACACAGTTTTGTAGCACTGTATATTGGCCTTTAATAAAGTTAATTTTGAAGGGAAGAATAAGGAAGAGGATGACTGATTTGGCAGGAAGCACCAATTCATCCCCCAGCCATTTTAATACGAGATAACCTCACAGTAATAATATTTATAGTATAAGATATATAGCGAGATATTTATAGTACAAGGTAGTTACCTAGATAAACTTATAACAACAGCTATAGTCTACTATTTATTACTTTTACTGCTACTGTTATAATAGGGATTAAAGTCTGCTTCCACCAATGGTGGTGGTATCGCAGACTTGAATATCAGTAACCCTATCTCTCTTTTGTACCTAAAATTAGCCATGAAATTAACTCTCATGCCCAGTTTAACTCAGCTATTCACGTTTTAGACTATTCTTAGACATGGTGATTGAAACTGACATTTCACATGTCAATCAGTTTTTTAAAGAGATCAAAGATTTTGTGCCTTTTTCCTTTGGATTCTATTAAGAGTAAATATTTCTCACCATATTTCACAATACCAAGTTTAGTGTGGGTTAGTTCCGTGGCAATGTTTTGTTACATTAAAATAGACTATGTCTGTTTACATGAGAAAATAACGAGTTAAATTTAGTCCTAGACCTACTTTTTATCTACACCCACACACAACACTAGCACAGTACAAAACAATTATATATCTACACACTTTTGTACTAACACACTGGCTTTTAACAAAACCACCCAAAGATATTCATAAAGTGTGGGTTACTAATAATGGTAATTATAAGTAAACATCAAAAGGTTATATCTACACTCTTTTCAACCATTTATTCGATCATTGAAAATCCACTTGAAGTATTTTTTTTTCGTCTCAAAGATATTATATAAATTTGATGTTTATATGGATCCTTTGGGGGGGGGGGGGGTGTCAAGGTGGTTCAGTGAGTATGGCATAGGCTCACTAACGAGACAGTCCTAGGTTAGATCTCGATGCTAGTCAAGAAAGTTCCTCAGGATTTTTCAGTGTCATGCAGGACAGAGATCTGGGAAAGAACAGAGTCTAGTCAGAAAAGCAAGGTACCATTGAAATTCAACAGCTCATAGTACACTGCATGGTGTATGCCTGTTTTCATTAGCCTGATTCATTTCTTTTATAAATTTTAAACAACTAATGGCTAGTCTACTATATATTGGTTCTATTTCTACTATTATAATACTTGAAATTCTAATTTTAGACAATAAAAAAAAAAAAGGAGCTTTGATACCATCTTGGCCCAAATGTTCGTGGATAGAATTGATCTATCCTTTGGACATATACATAGAAATAAATATGGGGACACAAACTTACATTAGAATATGTATTTTAATTTTAATACTATTGTGACCAATATGCTTTTTGCTAAGACTACTTGATGTTGTGTAAGGTCTTTGCAGTTATTTTTGATGTTTATTCTCTAATATAGGGACTTTAAATAGATCCATGCTTTTTGATAATATTGTGTAAGGTCTTTGCAGCTATTTTTGATGTTTATTCCCCAATATAGAGACTTCAAATAGATCCATTTATTTGATTAGATTTCTGCTGTAATACCTACAGTGGTCTGATACATGGCTAAATAAATAAAATATCACACGTGCAATATACGTGTGTTGAAATTTTTATTTGATATTTCAAAATTAAAGTTTAAAATTAGATCTATATTTTTAATCATCCCACCCTTTGTAAATATTGCTAAAATTGTTCTAATAAAAAGGTCAATGATGTCTAAAAACTGTGATATTTAGAAAGTTACAGAATAATGACATCATACTAATTTGAAGTGGTAAATTACTAAATACATTATTCTTCCCACTCCATACTTGAGATATGTATACATAATAACCTACGCCCAAATCTTTAGCCTACATCACAATCTATATTAAATAATTCTATTGTCTCCTTCTCACAGAGGCTGTATGACACAGTACAATCTATATAGTAGCCTATTCTCATGTATTTGCAGGCTATAGTCTGTTTCTCATTACTGGCCAGTCCTTGGCACTTTTGGATGCTACTGAAGTTGATAACTTGGCAATGATACGTTACTCCCTTTAGTGAGAAATATTTAACCGCATCGATGCAACAAATTCCGATGTATTGATAAAAATTAACAGATTATCCCATCAACTATAACAATACCTCTATATTTCATAATTAATTATTTTATCTCCTAACTATTTTCCTCATATTGCCAAGAAACATACTTTCCCAGGACTTCCATATTTTTTCATCATATTTAAACAGAAACTGACAAATTTACAAACAATTTGACAGAAATAATTACTTTGTAAAATAACAATTTTAACACCTTTGAAATGAAAAATCTACAAAGAAAATTAAACTATTATGGTGAATGAGTCTGTTCAACTTTATCATTGCTTCATGGTTTTTGACAATTTTCCAAATTAATAGGCCTACTGTCATTTTTTGCCACTTCATTACACGGTTTAAAATAGAATTTTAAAAGAAAGAAAAAACATGTTCTAAAAACAAATGTACTGAGTATAAAATGAGAGTATAAAATGAATTCTACATTAATTTTGGTGCCTCGGAAGATGTAAACATCAAGAGCTTCTTTAATACGTTTGCCAAAAGGTATTATTTTGCCAAGAGGTAGTTTATCTTTATGATGATTGCGGCTTCATTATGACATGTAAATGTAAACCCTTCATATCTAGCTATATACAAACAAATCTGGATTCAATTAATACAAGTTTTATGTATAAGTGTGTGCTATTTGTGTATGTAGAAATGTTGGTAGTAATTAGACACTAGTAGCTTAATGCTACAACTATACTACAAGTTACTTACATTACTGGGACTAGAAATAGATAAGGTACAACAATTGAAATATATC